AGGATCAAAAAAGAGAATAGGACCTTGGATAGATGTTATACATGACTTCAGCCACACAGTCCTTATTATAGTTGAAGCAACTTGTTTTTTGACACATTGTCTTCTTTGGTAATTGTACTTCTCATTTTGTAATTGTATTGTTTCTTTGGAGAATGTTAAGCAATATGTTTAGCTTCTCCAAAATATAAGCATAAGCACTCTTGACATTATCGACTCTTTTCTTGCTTTGTGATGGATTTAAAACATACCATACTAATTTATATTGGCTCTAGCTTTGATAAATAAGTTTTTAAAACTTAGGAATTATCATTATTATTTGATTTGCTCCTCTCCAGCCATATCTTTGTTCTTGACATCTTTCAAATAATCAATTATTATATGCAATGGCATGAGCAATAAATTATTCCAAAGGTTCTGTCTTTGGCATTGTTAGTAATAAATCTTTGATATTATCCTTCAAACCATATGAAAATAAATTGATAAGGGCTTTGTCATTCTAGTCCACATTGCAAGTAAGGTTTTAGAATTCAGCAGCACATATGGTGGTTGACCATGATCTTTGTCATAAAGATAAGAGCTTAGTCTCTACTACTCTTTCTCGATTACTATCTCCGAATATGGCCATAAATTCATTTAGGAATGAATTCAAATCATAAAAGAGTCGTGAATCTTTTTCTATTAAAGGTACAAAGCAAGAGAGAGCACTTCTTTATAGAAGTGCTCCTATGAATCCGACTTGAGTAAATCCATTGATGTATTGAAAAGTATGCAACCTTAGATAGAGCTTGACTTGTTGTAAAAATCTTCAAAATTTTCATCTTGTTCCATCAAACTTCTCATGCATATTAATCCTTGTCCCTATCATACTTATACAAGCAAAACTCCTTAGATTTGGTTGTAAAGTTGATTTATTTGCTTCCTTCAATTGCTCAACTTCTTGCCATAGACTCTGAACTTTTTCCATAGGCGTAGGCTTAGTACCTCCATGATTCATATTAAAAATACGTGAGATTTTCACTCTTAGAGTCTTAATAAGCTCATAAAGATCTGTAATAGTTATAAATCTATTTTTATTTTTGCTAGTAGTAGCATCCATAATCTTTCCTTCCATAAATATCTCAAACAAATTCAAAAAGTTAAATTAGAAGAGGATAATCTATAGCCTCTAATAAAAATTTCCACAAAGATGAATAATCCACTCTCTTTAAAGAAATGATAAGAGTTAGAAAACAAAATTTTTTGTTTAAAGGTGGATAGTCCACAACCTTCGAAACACAACAGTAGAAGTAGAGTAATCTATGTACTTCTAAAACAAGACAAAAATAATATGTTAGTATTTTTGTGAAACTATCAAGGACATGAATCTTGAAGAAAGAAAATCTTCAATACACTCTTGTATCACTGAAGAGAACTAGAAAGTCACTCAAAAGGTGATGTAATATTAAATTAAAATAGCTATTGCCAAAAACAAAAAGATTAGAAAGTCTTGAAACAAGACTAAAGACTAGAAAGGCATTGAGAAGAGTGAAGAAGGCTTCAGTCTTGCCTCTATATATACTCTCTAATTAGGAGCTACATGGCAATATTCTATAAGACTTCCAACATGTGTTGACTTTGCTATTCACATGTCTTAACTTGTAAGGCAAGTTATTTATGCATGCACCACATAGTTAGCTTGTTCTACAAGCTACTACATGGAATTAACTTGTTCCATAAGCTACCAAGACGTGGTTAACTTGTTGGCCAAATTTCCAACCTACAAACATATCTAAAATCAAAACCGCATCTATAAAGCTTCTAGAAAGCTTCACTAGAAGACTTTATGGAATTAATCTATATTTACCTACTTCTACCTAATCATATAAGTATCTATTGAGATAAATGTATATGTCCATGACACAAAGTTTAGTACATGAGAAGCTAGTTCTAGTAGTGGACATAGATGACTTTGACATTTAGGCTCAATATTTATAAAATTGAGCAAAGTTATTTAAAAAAAGTTATATTTATGGCTATAGAGAATTTAATTATTTTTCTATATTGTAATATTTTACGATATGCTTACATTTATAGTGGAACTTATTGACCTCAATTATTGAGATTCTCCAAAGAAGATTATTTATATTTGCAATATGAAGTACCTACAATAATTGATATTAAAGCAAGGCACATAATTCTACATATAAATGATATATTGTCTAGTGGTATTTTGTTGCTTAAAAGATAAGATAGACAAGAATGTCAAAAACATTCAAAAAATTGTATTTCTTGATATTTTTTTATTGATAATTCAATATATCTTGAATTTGTAATTGTATCAATTGATCTTCTTTATTTTGTATGTAGTGAGAAGAAAGAGCCTACTGCCATGTTTTTGTATGATTAATGCCAATATGGATGGTACATGGTATATGGCATACTTAATATGATTGCTTTTGATTCTTTCTTTAAAAAATTGACTATTGAAAAGTCTTTCAATCGTATCTCATCTATTGATAAAGGTTGAAGATTCCTTCTTCAATATTTGTCACACATTTTGGTAGTCTAATAGCTATAACAATGCCTTAAATAAGTATAATTTTGTAACATCATTGCACCATTCATCTTTAATCATTTGTTTACTTTTTAAGCTAGATCAAGAAGCTCTTATTCAATTAAGGGAAGTACTTGAGAGTGTCTTGATTGAGCATTTTTATTTTTTTTAAATTACATACTTTGTAATTGGTTTCAAGCATTCAATGTATAAATTTGTAATGATCTTTGTTTACATAGCAATTGTCACATAATATAGCATCAAGTACCAAATTATGTCAAATATATGTGATTTAATTTGAATTTAGTGGTTTTTTTTATCCATTTAGCTTTTTATTATTAATTGATTTGTTAATGTATACTAAGGTTTAAATAATTAGGTCAAAATATCCTCTTGACTTGACATTCTTCTCAAGTCAAGTCTTGTAGTTGGTTTTCAAGAGAGAGAAAGCTTGTTGTTAAGATTTAATTAGCTATGGTGATTAAGTCATTTAATAAAGTTTTAGAGTTTTTTTCTATTCACACTTACACTCTTGGATTTCTCTTTTGTAGTATGAGATATAGCTTGACTTATTAATATTAAAGTTCAATATCTTTTTTGTCTTTTTGTAATTACTATTAAATTAAAATATTATTAATTAAAATATAAGTATTAAATCTAATTAAAGATAATTTGAGCTAAAATTATAATTATTTTTATAAATATATATATATTATTTAAATTATTTTATATCTTTTTTATTTATTAATTATTAAATATTAGTAAATTTTAAATATAAATTTTTATATCAAAAAATAAATTATTTAAAACAAGTTAAATCAATTTTTTAATAAAAAATTTTGAAACTTAAAATTAATCATATAGATCCTTTAAATAATATTTTAGATAAAAAAACATCTAAAAATATTAATAAAATTTTAAAATATATCTAGATTTTCTTAAGACATTATAAAAATATTTAAGATAAATTATTTGAAACTTGCTACAATCAAATTTGTAAATTAAAACATAAATTTTCTTATAATATATATATATATATATATATATATATATATATATATATATATATATATATATATATATAATTTATTAATATTAAATATAAATATATACATACATTAATTATTAATATCAAATATGAATATTTATTTATTATAAAATATAGATGTAAAATAAATAATTTTTAAACAATGAAATAATAAAAAATAACAATATATTGTATTAGATTAAATTACTAAAAATTAATTATTCGATTATTAATTAATTGATATATATTTTGGTTTTTTATCCTAAATATGTTTTTATAAAAAAATTTGGAAACTTAAAATTTTAAAAACAACATTATTCTCAACTAAAATTTAGATTTTTCTTATAATAATATAATAAAGAAATAAATTATCATAGTAAATATTATAGAAAAATATTAAATATTAAATATATTAGTTAAAAATCTAATAAATAAATGCTTTGAATGATATTTTTCTATAATAATTTATTTCTATATTTATATTAAATAAACTAATCAATTGAATTATTCAAATTTTAAGCCAATGACATATCTTTAATTTTATGTTCGATTTTTTAAAAAAATTGTAATAATATTTCAAGGTATATTTAGATTTTTTTGAATAAAATTATATAATTTTTTAATGAAGTGTTAAAAGTATGAATTTTTCAATAAAAATTTTAGATCATGGTTTGATTATTTAAAATTTATTACACATTATAAAAAGAACATAAAAAATCACACATGAACTCTTTAATTTAAGACTATAATGACATATTATTTAATTGAATTTCAGTGCATAATTTCAAACTTAAAAATACATAAAACATTTACTTAATATATTTGAAACAGCATATCAAATATATATAAATGCATAAAAATTTATCAAGGTTGCTCTAATATTTTTCAATATTATTTGAGATTTAAATGTGTTTTATATGGAAAATTTTTAATTAATTTTTTAAAAAATGATTATATTATACATTTCAAAAATATAATATGTTTATGTTATACAATTTTTTAAAATTATTTTAGCATGTACATTATAAATCTAATATTGTAATATCAATTATATATTTTGAATGTACCAAAGGAGTGGAATTTCTTAACTTCACTTTTCTAATATATTAAATGATATTAAAGATTTTAAGGCCATGTTGTTCTGGAGTAAATGACTTTAAGATACGTTATTATCAGTTTTTGTTTAAGATCATTTTACCACACATTAGAGTTAACTTAAAATAAAAATGCTGAATAAAATATTGTATGTTGAAGTTAGATTTGCGTACTGTTTATAAAACATTGTTTGTATTTACTCAAATGAAAGATTTTCACTTTCTAGCCTATTGACGAGTTGCAACTATGATATTGGCAGGTGATCAAACTATACTCTACTAGTCCATCAAATTGCGTGAATCTATAAAACAATGTCCATTCACATGTTGATGAAAGATATGACGATATCAAAATTTTATCCTCAGTTAAAGAAGGATTTCTATATCATGAACTAAAAACTAATTCTGGAGTTGTGTAATGCCTTCATTTGAATGGATGGGTGGAAAGCTCACATGGGTCTCGTATCATTAAACTCCTCTAACATATCAATGGCACATTTCTCTATAATATTAACAAGGCTCCACAATTTTATTCATTCACTTTTCTTCTGATGAGATCAAGCATTTGAGCAGGATGATTTTGCCTGCTCCGGTGCACTAACTGGATCTGCCGGCATTCAAACACGGTATTCAACAAGACCCTGCTACAGTGATCAATCAAAATCTTCAATGTCAGAGTCCAACTTGGCAGTCTACAATCTGGTGTTCTAAGTCTCCTTCGAAGTGGGTTTCAGAATCAGCTCTGTTATAAGATCAAAATCCACATGGAGCTCTACTTCGTAGCCAAAAAAGAAAACATATGTGAGCCACTGGAAGTTATGGATGTTGTGAACCGGCGATGAGAAACTCGGCAACGTCGAAAAAAAACGGTACAAAACAAACAATAACAGAAACCAAACAAAAAACAACGATAACAGAAAGCTTGATATCCCAGCAAAACACAATCCAATGGGAGGAAGCAAGCGGACGGAAGCTTGGCTGTATGAAGTCAACCCACATGTCTCAGACGCAAGCATCGTGCAAGGTTCAACGCCAGAAGTAAATGAGAACTGTGTTTCCACCAGATCTAAGCAAAGAGAGACCATCTTCGCCCACTTTCCAGGGGCAGACACGGTCACACAATCCCGAGTGGTCAGGCCTCTCCCACATCACAAACGTGCCGTCCTTGTCCTCCCACTCGAAACTGCATGTCCAAGAAAGCTGCCTCTCACAGTCGAAGTTGAATTGGAATACGTCTCCTGGATCTGAATCGTGGAAGGGCAGCGTCTCCTCGTTTGAAGTACACTGGATTCTGGTGCGGTAAGGCAGGTTGTTCTTAATGGACATAATACCCACCGTTGTTTGGCAGTCGACGTTCACGACGATCAGCAATATCAGTGCCAGAGAAATACCCGGAAAGAAGTTCCAGAAACATGTCAGAGCCATTTGTTGGGTGCCTCACTAGTGGAAGAAGAAGGTCAAGGGCTGTCAAATCCTCTGCACAATCGAGGAGGAAGGTCTCAGACCCAAGTATCTACAATCTCACACTACACAACAAAGGGCAACATCAGCTGGAATATGTGTTGGCATTGGTGCAGAACAGTGCCGAACACAACAAACAAACAAATTATCAAACAAACACGAGGCAATTTAAAACGTGCCCAGACTCTCACAGGAATAATTATGCCGCTAATTACAGAGGTGATTAACGACAGGCCGATACAAAGTGGGCATACCTTAGCTGATTATGTACTAGTTCGAAACAGCGCTCCAGCCCATTTGGGCAAAATCTGTACTCTGAATTTGTATATTCCTCGGGATCATTTTTTTACAACTTAGTACTGCAAGCTGAAGGACACACAAGCGATAACGCCTCACTAAGTACAACATGATCATGTCTACTTGTTGACTTGGTCAACGACGCATAAGATATCATCAAAGAATCCATACCCGGCTCGATATCCGGTGTGCATCCCTTGTCACGGTCGGTCTACAACCCTCGAGACTCAGGTACACTGCTTAGTAGGCAACTTAGTAGGCTGCCCAGGGTTCAATTGTATGAGTTTGAACTGCGCTAGCCATGGCCAGATTTTGACAGATTTGGGCAAAATCTGCCAATTTCCTGGATTAGGTTGCTGTGAAAAGGAGAGCTAATGCAGGACAAACCTCGTGGTTAAACAATCCAATTGGTCCGTATGCTGACCTTAGCGCAGATGATTGATCAGAATCGCTCTCGTAATCGTGTCGAGACGTACTGTACCAAAGCGTACCAAATTACGACCATATTACCAACATGAGGCAACACATGCCCCTCTGGCAACCAATTGTGCAACTCGACGTTGTGAGATTTCAAGATCCAGAATGCATCGCCAACGGGTTCTAAATTGAGGAAATTAGTTGCTACCATTCTTCGCGCTGTTCCTAACGCCACCCCTTAAGCGTGCACCTCTTCGCTCTACTGGAACTACCCTTGAAAAAATACTCGTTCCGTGATACTTGCTATCCTAACGGAGTGTGCTCAGAAGGGCATCGCCCCGTGTTGGAAATAGTCACGATGAATGTGAGCTGAAGTTTCAAAGTATTCGACCAATCACCAATTGAATTGGATTTCAGTGCAAATTCTTTTCCAAAATCGGCAAGTTTGAGGCCTTAATTGTGAGCAAGGTTCGAATTACTCACACTCGCAACATACCAGAAAAATGATCGACTTTCAAATCCCAGCACAAAATCAAAACCCGTAAGGCCAAACAGAAGAGAGAAATTGAGAAACAGTGTAGTCAATAAAGTGAAACATCAAACATGTACTCGGTGCAAATAAAAAGAGGGGTAAGATCTCAAAAACTGCTTCCAGCTAAACCATACCAGTTTCCAAGCCGCCAAAAAAACGCCCATAAACAACGTGAGCTACTCACCTATCAACTCATAAAAGTGCGCGCTTCTAAAAACTCAGCTAGCCCTAATAAGATGCGCATCAAAAACCTTATGATCCATCAAAACTGAGAATCTAATATATATATATTAAAAAAAAAAAAAAAAAACCAAATGAAAATTTAAACCCGCGCACAACTTCCCAATATTAACAACTTCGGTGTCCCATGATTCCCCTCACTCCCCAACCTTAAACACTAAAGCCATTCAGTTGAGCAGATTCTGTCAGGAAATCATCTCACCGTGTTTAACTAACCAATAGGTCTAAATGGGGATTTTACTCCCAACATGAAGAGAGAAGACGGACACGATACACATTAACCACCCTAGTAGTCTAATAATCATCTTCGTAACCTTCATATTCTCCGTCTGAAAGCTCATCGAATGTGCGCATATCGAGCTGATAGCGCAAGATTCCTCCAATTCCACCAAAACCACGACAAAACTGTGATCCTTCCTGAAAACCACGAACATAAACAAAAATTCAACACTTCAATCGAATACAAAGACAACTGATCCATGATTATCTGAAATAAAAAGACACGTTCAAAAAAAGATACTACGTCCTTGACATAGCAAGCATTTGCAACATCTTACGAACACCGAGGAAGTAGGTCTACTCTTGACAAGTGCACGCACCTGTGACTTGTTCGTAACAAATTCTAACGTACATCCAAACCGCTTGTACTCATTTGCGAACCACTCCAGGAGCGACAACTTCTCCTGAACTTCCAATTCGGCGTTGCTCTCAGCATCCCTGAAGCTGAAATAACCACCAATGATAGGTTAAACAATCATTAACTTTATAAAATGCACGCACCAATAAATAATGATGTGTCAATCAAAGAGGAAGAAAGGAAAAGAAAAGAAAAGAAAAAACTGCACTAGACTGTTACAACTTAGCTACTCTACAAGTGCTTCGTCTGCCCATTCTAAAGCTCTATTAATGCATCACCGGCGTTACCCCTATGACATGCAATACAACACAATAACAATGAACTCCTTGTTAAAAAGGACATGTGTAATCGGGAAAATAGACAAGGTCAACATAGCCCTGTAGCTAAAACCAGGAACATCTAATCCCCGGTCCCCTTGCTTAAAACAGCTAATCAAAACAAAAAGTACATTAAATCAGAGAATGACAATCGAATATTCCTCAAGAACAAAATTTCCTGCGAATACTAAGCTCCAATAAAAAGTTGACAAAATGTCATACTTGGATTGGTCCGCTTCTTGCTCCTTGGTGAGATGCTTGATCACGATCTCCCCAGTTACCGCGTTCTTCAGCACGTATCGGTTCGTGTCCAAGTTCTCCCACACGATCAATGTCTCCACCGCCCCCATCTCCAGAGCCTTCAGCGTGTCGTCGATCCCGAACACGTACTTCCCCGTGTCCTGACTGATCTCGTCGAAGTACTTCCCGATCAGCCTCTTCTCCTGTATGAACTTTACGTTCGCCAGAATCTCCGCCGACAGCTCGATCGCCTGGTTGAACCCGTTGTCCCCCCCGTACGACACGTCCACTACGTTCAGCACCTTCGCTTGCAGCCGAGGATCGAACATGTCCGACTGGCTCAGCTCCGTCTTAAAATCCGCCGAACCCGCCAGAATCAACCCTACGCTCCACACACACACAACCCTCAATATCACCACCACACTCTCTCTCTCTCTCTCTCTCTCTCTCTCTCTCTCTCTTCGCCATCACTCCTTAAACCCCGCACTCCACATGCACACATGCCCCACTCCCACTCACATCCCCCATCCCCCCTACCTGACACATTCGGCTGACTCGTCGCCGGGTTGATGTAGAACTGCGTCGCCAGCTCCGCCGTCTTCCGCACGTAATTGTGCCTCTTCTCCATCCGCAGCCGAGCGAAACGCAGCGCCGACTGCCCTCCACGACCGTGCTTCTTCGGTAGATCCACCGTGAACTTGTGCAGCACCTCGCGCGTGTTCCCGCTCAGAGTCCCAAACAGCGTCCCGTTTCCGTCCATCACGATGAACCCGAACTTGTCGTCCGACTCCAGCAGCTCGTTCAACGCCTCCGTGTGGAACTTGTTGTCGCACAGATACAGCGATGCATTGATGGGCTTGAACGGCTCGAAGTCGATCGTCACCTGCACCACCAACCATCTTCCACTCAATCCCCTTCCCACACTTCATCCTCACCATCCTCCTCTCACGCTACACTCCACCCCGACCTCACCATTCCACAATCCCCACGCACACCCGACATCCAATGCACACAAAATACATCCCATGTATATGCACCTTCTTCTCCTTGCCATCGTCCGTCACAATTGTGCCTGTGTACAGCACCAGCCCGTTTGGGGGCACCTTGTTGTACAGTTTCAGCCTTTGCTGCGCAGACGTGATGGCTCCCAACACGGACTGCCTGTTCACCCTGTTCTTGATATTGGAAGCTGTCCCAAACTCGTCTCCGAGCATCTTAGTCACCCGGGAAACTTGATCCCTAAAACACAACCACCATTCCAAACCCTCCAATCAAAACTCCTAAAATGACACAAACCATAAGAAAAACAGAGGCAAACTCTACCATAGTGTTGAGAGATTTCCAAAGGGGGTTGAATTAGTCGTTAACCTAAGTTCGACACCGCAGTGAATCCGACAACAGATCGGTCTCAAGTCAGATCACGATGGGACAACATACAGATTCTCAAACAAGCGATTCGAGAGCTCAGCCACACATATCCGCAACAACAAAACGATGCAACGTTTCGAAACCTCTAATTCAACCACAACCCTCACCGCAGGAGTAAAGAACACGACCACGACTTCACACCACCAGCAATGGTCTGTAAGCAAAAATTCAAACCCTAAACGCACCGAGGAGGCATGATGAGCGAGATCATGGACGTGCCATTGCCACGAGCCGACTCCAAGGCCTTGATGAGCTTCTTGATTTTCCATATCTCGATGTTTTTGTCGGTTCCTTCGCCGCCATCTGCCATTTCGCCTGGCGTACGCGCGTCGGTGGAGAGGAGAAAGAGATGAAGAGAGAGGCAGCGCCGCAGAAATGCACCAGATCACAGAGATACCACAATCCCGTACAACAACAACAACAATGAAGGAAGTAAGAGCGCAGCCCCTGGCAGCGTTGTTGCCCTCATCGACGCAGGGCCCGGCCTGGCCTGGCCTAGACACCGACTGCCCTATCCGAAGTTAGCGGGGGTCGGAGAGGGTAGTACCACCCTAATTGGATGAATGACCTCCCGTGGACGGGGAGGATGGATGAGGTGATGAAGGGTGGTTTGTGGAGCTCATTCGTAACCATTTTGTGAGTACTATTCGTGATATTTGGATTGTACGTGCACATCTGTTTACAATACCTCAGAATGTTTTCAACGGTGAAAATCTGAACATGTATTTCTCATTTTTGGTATCATATAAATGGCTTTTAATTTGATGTTTGCAGTGCTTAAAATCAAAGCATTTTTAAGCCTCATAAGCTTCAAAAAATAAATGAATAACAATAAAATAAATCAATGAATATGAAAATAAATTTATAGGAATCATAAATAAAAATTAAAATATTAAAAACTTGACTTTGAATCTAATCTTTAAAAGAAATATTAAATTGAATAAGTTAAAAACTTAGTGAGTGGTATGCTATTATTGCTGAAATTGAATTTTTGATGTTTCATTTCAATTTAGTAATTTCATTATATTGAATCCAAAATTAGCACTCCAACTTGTTGAAGTTTCAAACAATCACCATCAACTGTTTGTAGAAAGTAGTACAAAGAAGCATTATGTACATAAGACTTTTGTTGGATAGAGTCAAAGCAAAAGATGATGATGCTTACATTTCAATTGGAAAGACATCATATTTACTTGCTTCTTTTCAAATGTAGATCATTGAATAAGAAAGAAAACAGTTTAGAGTTTTTTCTTCTTAAATGCTTCATTGAGATACTCAAGGTAGAGAAATGTGACTTCTATCAATGAAACTTAATTAGCAGATTGATTAAAAACATAGATTTAAGTGATATAGTTATAAAAATATTAAGATTAAAGTGTCTTTTTTGTTATTTAAGTATTTATTAGAATTTAGAATTATTCATAAGTTATAAAAGACTTATTAGAGAAAAATTTATAAGAATAGAATCTTAGTAAGTCTTAGAGCTAAGTATCTTAGTTGGTATAGTAATTTTTTTTCTTGTTAAATATTAATGTTTAATTATTAAGACTAGTATCTATATTAATTTTTTTTATATGTGCATAAACTATAACAAAAAAAAAATGTAAATTTTAGTTGGTGGAAGGAGCATGAGAAAGAACCTCATGTCATTTTACTTATTTATAATAAAAAAATAATTTTTAGTTAATTTAAATTAATACTATTCTTGTAAAAAATCACCAAGATTGAAACTTACAGCTTTAAATTGATAATAAAATAATAAAAATATTATAGAAAAATTTAAAATATATTTATAATTTATTTATAATATTTCAGAAAAAATTTAGAGAAATTTTTAAGACTTTGGTAAAATTGAGTATTATCACTTTGGATGCTATTATGAAGGAATAGAATAAGATTTGAAGGCCATACAAGATTCATAAACTAATTGGATGTTTTTGAATACAATAATGAAGTCAAATATAAAAAAATAGTTTTATTAATAGAAAATAGGAATAGCAATAGCTAGTGTAGTTCTTGTAAGAAGGAAGATGCACAAGTCTCATATGGATTGTATCATCTTGGAAGTAGATAAGAGGATAAGAATAAGACCTCTTTTCTTTTTTAGAAAACTATTTTATACTACACATGACCATTAGTGAGACTCAAATCCTTGATCTACAATTAAATTACCTTCAAAATAAAATCTATTTATTTAATTTTTTAATTATTTACTTCTTATCTTTAAACCTTCATAATTTATTCATAATAAATTAGATTTACATATTTTTTATATTATTTTAAATATATTAAAATTAAAAAATTAAAAAATCATTTTTATTTATTATTTTTATAAAGTAAAAATTTTGTGAACAAATTGTAACTAAGTTTTAGAATGTATAATTCTTTAATTACATTTTTTTATTATTTTTTTCTTTTTTATTTTTTTATTCTTGTATTTTGCTTGTCTCACTTTACACTACTAATTAAAAGAAACATTTAATCAAGACTATCTTATAATTTGAATTTAGGGGTGAATTTTATTCTAACAAAGACATCACCAAAGATACCTACTATTATAATATATGTGGGCAATACAATAGAGAGGTGCATAAGTTGCTAATTAATAAAGGCTCTCTATTTGATAAAGACTTTTTTACATAAAATGTCAAGTATTTCAAGTCTATACTTGTGTAGGCACTTCAAAAGAAAACCAAGTATCTTTTGCATTTATTAAGGATCTTAAACAAAAACATTATTGGTGTTTAAATGGAATCTTTTTTTTTAATGTAGTTTGCTATTTTTTGAATAAAATAGAGGTCTTTTAGATCATTGAAGCCTATACATATCTAATATGCATATATCAAAAAATATCCATTATGTCTTACAATGTGTTCATTTGAATGTCATGGATATTAACTTAATATATATATATATATATATATATATATTCTATTTATACTAATATATTTATTATATTAAATACTTTCCAAAATTTACAATTGCTTTAGTTTTAATTATGATAATAATTAAATTATTTTAATATAAAAATATAGAGAGATAATTCTGAAAATTCTATAGATCTTGTTGTTGTATATTAAAAATAATATATTTTTGATTTGGACAAGCATTAAGACAATTGGATTGAGAGTCACTTATCAAATCTCTTTGACTTATATCTAGATACAAAAGAAGAATGAACAAGTATTAAAAAATATAATCAACATTTAAAGCCAATAAAAAATAATTTATTTTTGTAGGCTAATATTAATTTCTTTAAATACTTTGAGGATATATAATAAAAAATATTTCAAATCAATTTCTTTAAAAGGTTATTTCTAAGAAGTCCATAAAGGCTCTAAAAACCATAAAGCCTAATATGGTTGCATTGACTAAGGATTTTTTCTACTAAAATATATATATATATATATATATATATATATATATCAGTCATGATAGAAAATATGTTTTATATATAGATTCAACATATGTAAAACTTATTGATAAAATGAATGTGGGCTAGATCAAATTAGGATATTGGTATAGACAATTGAAAAGACAAATAATCATAAATATTTTTTTAATACTATTATCTTTTAATAAAATTATTAGATAAAAGAAAAAAAATATATTATAAAAAAATATTTTTAAAAAATAAAAAATTACTATAAAAATATAAATAAAACTTATAAAGGTCATAGAACAATTCAAAACTTATATATTTTTTTTGTAAAAATAAAATTTATTTAATTTATACTACCATAAATATATATATATATATATATATTTATACATAATATAATATTTATATCTTCTTCTATCTCAAATACTTGATAAATTTGATATTTATAATATAAAGTGATATTTGATTTTTTCTAAGTATATTTTTTATTTTATATAACTCAAGAAGAGATACATCAAATACATGATAATAAGCATAAGAACTCAAGTAAGATATGTAAACAAGTGAGATAAGTATCAAAGAAAGATGACAAAATGATAATAAAAAAATATGCATATTCAAGAAGAAACTTGAATGGCTATTGTCAAAGCTTAGAAATCTAGAAAGTCTTAAAACTAGGCTAGAAGTAAAAAAAGAATTGACAAGAGTGAAAAATGCTTTATTCTTATTTTTATTTATACTATCTAACTAAAAGCTATATGACAATGTTTTATAAGACTTCCAACACATGTCTAACTTGTGAGTCATATGTCTTGACTTGTGAAGCAAGCTTTCTATATGTATGCTACATGGTTAGTTTTTACTACAAGCTACCAACATATGTGATATGTGGCTAACTTATTGGCCAAATGTTCAATCTATCAATTACTTGAAGTCACATATAAAAGTAAAATTGTATCTACAAAGCTTCTATGAAGCTTTTCTATAAGATATTATTAAATTAATTTATTCTTACTTATTCCTACTTATTCATATTATTTAAATAATTATAAGAGTAAAAACATATGTCTTTAAAATTTCTCTCTCTTCTAGAGACAATATCAATAAAGAATAGTCATCTTATATTGAAAAAGTCTAAGATGTGATAAATTATACTTGCCACATACTGTGATCTTTGTTCCTTTTGAAGATAGTTGATAGGTCTTCTTTATCATTGATAACTTTTTATTTGAAGGTAAAAAGATCACCCTATTATTTGATCATTGTTAAGGCCTTTGTAACTTCTTTCAAATAAAATATTTATAACACCATCTGGAATTATTTCTACTTCTAATAAAATTATCAATTACCAAGACTCTTTTCCAAGTTTGTAATATCAAATATATTATATCTTGCCATGTATTCAAGGAAGAACATGTTGTTATTACAGGTCTTTATCTTTGTTATGTTGTCTTGAAGATTATGATAATGACAATTTTTTGTATAATAAGTCAAAAAATAATAGCTCTTTAATTAAATCAATTGGTTGTTGATTTTTCATCTTATTAACACTACTAATACAAAATAATCACAGTAAATGATAAAAGATAGAATGCAATCTTTATTGAACATTCTTTCTTTTATAGCAAAGATTTACTTGACTCTTCAACTTAATTTTGATAGATATTGTTGATGAAAAGTTTTGACCTTCTTTATTGTATTTATAAGATTTTTTGCTAGCTTCCAAGTACTTTTATTAATATTATATTTGTACCAATAAATAAAATATTTAAACCTAAGTTAGTGTCACCTTGAGTCTAAGACTTCTTTCACCTCAAATTCTTGATTATTATCCACTTTTAGAAGATGCAATGATATTTATCTTATTTTTGGGATATTCACTATCTTATCTGGATCAAGAAAAGATACATCAAATATAAGATGGATCTTTATAGACTTTGGTAGATATAATTGATAAGCAACTAGATTGACTTATTTATATAAAAAAAAATGGTTTAAATCTATGATAATCTAACTTGTTTTAAGAAAAAATAATCTTAATATTATCACAAAATAATCATACTTCATTAAAAACTTAGAAT